AAAAAAAAAAAAAACTTGTAGTAAACAAATCATGACATTTCAGTCATTACAATACCATGGCATTAGGAACAAAATAAGAAATTTAAAGTTGAATTGTTTATAAATATAAAATATCATTTTTAGATCAAATTGAAAATGCAATATTGTTGCTTAAAATGAAATATAAGGAGTACCAGTTTTAACGCAAAACACACCAAGGAAAGAAACCTCCTTTGCTGCACGCCCTCCAAAAGTCAAACCACGTTAATCTCAGCATATTGTTCCTTTAATCCTTCAAAATCTCGTATTGTGTTAGAAAATAAAAAAGTGGGGAACAGAGGGGTATTCGGCCGTACTTGAGCTAGCTCATGGCTGGTAGCTCCCATTTAAAAATCGTAGAAGTAGTCATCAAGCATCAAAAGCAAATTTAATGGCCACGACGTTTTTTAACTAATACTAGTACATTTATGTCCCGACCTGAGTACTGAATACTCATGACTCTTTCCATTTTATTGTTTGTGAACCCCTTTGAGTACTGAATACGAAATAAAAGAAAGATTTAAAAAAAAAAAAAAAAAAACTTGTAGTAAACAAATCATGACATTTCAGTCATTACAATACCATGGCATTAGGAACAAAATAAGAAATTTAAAGTTGAATTGTTTATAAATATAAAATATCATTTTTAGATCAAATTGAAAATGCAATATTGTTGCTTAAAATGAAATATAAGGAGTACCAGTTTTAACGCAAAACACACCAAGGAAAGAAACCTCCTTTGCTGCACGCCCTCCAAAAGTCAAACCACGTTAATCTCAGCATATTGTTCCTTTAATCCTTCAAAATCTCGTATTGTGTTAGAAAATAAAAAAGTGGGGAACAGAGGGGTATTCGGCCGTACTTGAGCTAGCTCATGGCTGGTAGCTCCCATTTAAAAATCGTAGAAGTAGTCATCAAGCATCAAAAGCAAATTTAATGGCCACGACGTTTTTTAACTAATACTAGTACATTTATGTCCCGACCTGAGTACTGAATACTCATGACTCTTTCCATTTTATTGTTTGTGAACCCCTTTGAGTACTGAATACGAAATAAAAGAAAGATTTAAAAAAAAAAAAAAAAAAACTTGTAGTAAACAAATCATGACATTTCAGTCATTACAATACCATGGCATTAGGAACAAAATAAGAAATTTAAAGTTGAATTGTTTATAAATATAAAATATCATTTTTAGATCAAATTGAAAATGCAATATTGTTGCTTAAAATGAAATATAAGGAGTACCAGTTTTAACGCAAAACACACCAAGGAAAGAAACCTCCTTTGCTGCACGCCCTCCAAAAGTCAAACCACGTTAATCTCAGCATATTGTTCCTTTAATCCTTCAAAATCTCGTATTGTGTTAGAAAATAAAAAAGTGGGGAACAGAGGGGTATTCGGCCGTACTTGAGCTAGCTCATGGCTGGTAGCTCCCATTTAAAAATCGTAGAAGTAGTCATCAAGCATCAAAAGCAAATCTAATGGCCACGACGTTTTTTAACTAATACTAGTACATTTATGTCCCGACATGAAATTTCTACTTTCGGAACTGTAATGGTGCCTAACATTTCACTTGATAGGCAAGTCAAAATTAGAGAACCGTTAAGTCAATTATTATTCAAATTCAATAAATAAAGTTAATTAAGCCAAAGTGAAATAAAAGCGGTTGCGGAATAATATAAATGCCCAATAGCTATTACAATATAGATCTAGAGCCACAACTCACGAGCTTCTAGAATTTACTACAAATAGAGTCTGAAAGAAATACAACTGTTTGAAAGAAAGGAAATAGTGAAATAAGAAATATAGAAGGGGACTTCAACGCCTGCGTACGCCAGCAAATCTACCTCGAGTCTCCGAATGAGCAAATTCAAGTTGTTCCAACTCACGGACAACTAGGGCTGCTACTAAAATCTGCACAAGAAGTGCAGAGTGTAGTATGAGTACAACCGATCCCATGTACTCGTAAGTGTCTTGCCTAACCTCCACGAAGTAGTGACGAGGCTATGACAAGACACCTGCATAATAAATCTATGCAGATAACAATATATGTACAAGATAGCAACAAATAAAATCCAAGCAGGTACTTGCGGGAGGGGGACATGCTAAGGGGATACAAGATACGAGAGATACAGCGGAAATGTTAACCGGAACAGTTAATATGCCTTTAACCAGTAAAAACAATTAAGCATAAGGAAGAAAATTGCACGTCATCGCCCTTGGTACTTTTACTCTCATCCTCACAATGAAACAATGATACTGCATGGCATCACCATTCTTTTACTCTCATTTA